GTATTTCTTCATAGCAGTATGTAAATGGACTAATACAGTAAATTGGTACCAGTAGAGTGAGGTGCTGCTGTAAAGCTACCCAAAATGTGGAAGTGACTTTGAAACTGGATAACAGGCAGAGGTTGGAACAGTTTGGAGGGCTCAGAAGAAGACAGGAAGATGTGTGAAAGTTTGGAACTTCCTAGAGTCTTGTTGAATGGCTTTGACCAAATGCTGATAGTGATATGGACAATAAAGTCCAGGCTGATGTGGTCACAGATGGAGACGAGGAACTTGTTGGGAACTGGAGCAAAGGTGACTCTTGCTATGTTTTAGCAAAGGGGCTGGTGGCATTTTGTACCTACCCTGGAGATTTGTGGAACTCTGAACTTGAGAGACATAATTTAGGGCATCTAGCAAAAGAAATTTCTAAGCAGCAGTACATTCAAGAGGTGACTTGGGTACTGTTAAAAGCATTTAGTTTTATTCATTCACAAAGATACGGTTTGGAATTGGAACTTACGTTTAAAAAGGAAACAGAGCATAAACGTTCAGAAAAATTGCAGACTGATGATGTGATAGAAAAGCAAAAACCATTTTCTGAGGAATAATTCAAGCCAGCTGCAGAAATTTGTATAAGTAGTGAGGAGGCAAATGTTAATTCCCAAGACAATGGGGAAAATGTCTCCAGAGCACGTCAGAGGTCTTCATGGCAGCTTCTTCCATCAGAGATCTGGAGCCTAGGAGGACAAAATGGTTTCATAGGCTGGGTCTAGTGTTCCTCTGCTGTGGAAAACCTAGGGATTTGGTGCCCTGCGTCCCAGTTGCACCACCTGTGGCTGAAAGGGACCAAAATAGAGCTTGGGCTGTAGCTTCAGAGGTTGCAAGCCTCAAGCCTTGCTTGAGGTTGCAACACCAAGCTTCCACACGGTGTTGAGCCTGTGGGTACACAGAAGTCAAGAATTCAGGTTTGGGAACCTTTGCGTAGGTTTCAGAGCATGTATGGAAACACCTGGATGCCCAGGCAGAGGTTTGCTGCAGGGGCAGGGCCCTCATGGGGAACCTCTGGTAGGGCAGTGCATAAGGGAAATGTAGGGTGGGAGCCCCCACACAGAGTCCCTACTAGAGCACTGTTTAGTGGAGCTGTGAGAAGAGGAACAACATCCTCCATACCCCAGAATGGTAGATCCACCAACAGCTTACACCATGCACCTGGAAAAGCCACAGAGATTCAATGCAAGCCCATGAAAGCAGCCAGAAAAGGGGGTATACCCTGCAAAGTTACAGGGACAGAGCTGCCTAAGACCATGGGAACCCACCTCTTGCATCAGCGTGACCTGGATATGAGACCTAGAGTCAAAGGAGATCATTTTGGAGCTTTAAGATTTGACTACCCAGCTGGATTTCACACTTTCATGCGGCCTGTAGCTCCTTTGTTTTAGCAATTTATCTCATTTGGTATGGGTATATTTACCCAAGGCCTGTACCTCCATTATATCTGGGAAGTAACTAAATTGCTTTTGATTTTACAGGCTTATAGGTGGAAGGGACTTGCCTTGTCTCAGATGAAACTTTGAACTGTGGACTTTTGAGTTAATGCTAAAAAGAGTTAAGATTTTGGGGGACAGTTGGGAAGCCCTGATTGGTTTTGAAATGTGAGGACATGAGATTTTGTAGGGGCCAGGGACAGAATGATATGGTTTGGCTGTGTCCCCACCCAAATCTCATCTCGAATTGTAGCTCCCATAATTTCCACATGTCATGGAAGGGACCTGGTGGGAGGTAATTGAATCATGGGGGTGGGTCTTTCCCGCACTCTTCTCCTGATAGTAAGTCTCATGAGATCTGATGGTTTTATAAATGGGAGTTCCCCTACACAAGCTCTCTTGCCTGCTCACCACGTAAGATGTACCTTTTGTCCTCCTTTGCCTTCCACCATAATTGTGAGGCCTCTCCAGCCATGTGGAACTGTGAGTCCATTAAACCTCTTTTTCTTTATAAATTACCCGGTCTTGGTATTTCTTCATAGCAGTATGAAAATGGACTAACACAACAACCCACCAAATCTGTCTCCAAACATTGATAAAATTGGTCCTGGTAGAGAACCACTGATGTAGACTACACCAAAGACAGGAATTTCGTAGGGATACTTTTTCTCTGCAAAACCTACAAGATATAACTTAGAAACCCTCTATTTTTTTTTTTTTTCTTTGACATGCCTTTTTGGTTACTAAGCAATTGGTTTTGGTTGTTTTTCTTATGCTGTCTCAGGGATTCCCCATCTCAGCACTATTGTTTTGTGCCAGATAATTCTTTGTTGTGTGGGGCTGTCCTGAAGATTGTAGGGTTTTTAGCCTCTACCCACTAGATGCCAGTAGCACCTCACCCCCCACCCACAGTTGTAACAACCAATACTGTCTATAGATATTGTCAAAGGTCCCCTGTGGAGCAAAATCACCCTTGGTTAATAGTCATTGCACTATTTCTACTTATCTTTCTCAATACACTAGTTCTTCTGTTCAGCATTATGTCGTAGAAGAAATCCATACATCTCTCATTTTCTTATAGACATTGAGTGATAATTTTTCTTGTAACTGTTACTTAAACATGATTATGGAAATATACTATCTCAAGTAGTCAAACTGTTGCATTCTTTTCTAACAAATATAACATTGCCTCTAAGAATAATTCTGGAAAATAACATATACTCTAACTTGCTAAACATTTATCATTTCTCCTCTGAGTGAACAGCACTAAGCCATTTGAGCTTCTATTACGGTTCTGCTATAGATTGCCTTTGCATTAAATTTGCACACACTTCTCTATTTCACTAAATCTGAACTTGTAGAGAACCTCAAGACAAGCATATTGCCTTTAAACATAATAACTATACTGATATTAAGAAATAGAAATATTGGAATCAGGCACTTCCGGGTCAAAATATCCCTGAAGTCCTTTCAATATCACTTAATTTCTCTTTAACCAGGTTTAGGGCCCTTAGGCAAGTTAGCTCCTCTGACTTTGCTTCATCCTCTGCAAAATAGGAGTAAGATTTCCTTCTGAGTGGGTTCTTATAAATATTAGAGATTAGGAGATAAAGCACCAGGTATGTATCACTCAAAAATGTTAACCATTGTTACTAATTTTTTCCAGAGATATTAAGGTATACCTTTTAAAAAGCCTTTAAAGTCCATACTTTAAGCCTTCCATACCTATACACAGAGTATTTACTTCTTTCTTTCCCTTATTTTCTGACTTATTTATAGTCACAGGTAAGGCATGCTGGGAAAAAAAGATTGTTGCCTTAATTTTTCTCTTGATTTTGCCAGAAATGTTAACTAATTCTAATGTTTTCATGAACACTGAATTTTAAAGTTTACTTAGCATCTTTGTGGGGATTTCTTTTTGCAGGTGTGAGAAGTACCTTGCTTCTAAATAAGGCATAAGAGGCAGAATTATAGATAAAATTAGGAAGAGTTTTACTAAAATTGGTTCTTCTGGCAAAAATGTCCTTTGATCGTTTTGTTTTGTTTTGTTTTTCCTTTTCTTTTTCTAGACAGAGTTTTGCTCTTGTTGCCCAAGCTGGAGTGCAATGGCATGATTTCAGCTCACCGCAACCTCCACCTCCTGGGTTCAAGCGATTCTCCTGCCTCAGCCTCCCGAGTAGCTGGGATTACAGGCATGTGCCACCACACCTGGCTAATTTTGTATTTTTAGTAGGGACAGGGTTTCTCCATGTTGGTCAGGCTGGTCTTGAACTCCTGACTTCAGGTGATCCACCCGCCTTGGCCTCCCAAAGTGCTGGGATTACAGGCGTGAGCCACCACGGCCAGCCCTTATTTGATTGGTTTTAATGTTTTCCCCAGTAGATAAATTTTTCTTTCACTTTTTTTCCCCTGATATATGTATGTGTGTGTGTGTGTGTGTGCGTGTGTATATATATACGTGTGTGTGTGTATATATATGGTTTTGACCTTCAAATTGAATTAAAGCATGTTGAAAAGAAAAGCAAAGAATTAAATGAAAATCTACCAGTTACATTGCAAAATCAATTAAAATGCAGAATGCACTATTCTTGTCATTGAAAATGATTGTTTGGTTCAATTTATTATGCAAGGATGCAATTTCCCCTAGATTAGACAAAAAAGTGTTAATACAAGGCTGGGGTATACAGTTTTAGTTATAATATCACCAAATTTTAGAGGTGAAAGGGATCCCTAAATTAATTAATATAACTGTCCCATTTCATGAGTGGAGAAATTGAGGCCTAAAGAAGGCAAGTGATTTCCTTAGAGTTTTAAGCAAGGGTTAGTGACAAAATGCATACAAGGACCTGATTCCCAATGAGTCAGATATCCTGCTCTGTTGATGACATCATTCTGATAAAAATAGAATTGTGGAAACTTCTAAAAAATGTAGCACTTATTTTCTAATGAACTAAAACAAGTAGAGAATGGTAGTGGAAATAACTTTAAGAACTGTCGTGGCACCAACTGCTGGGGTAGGGGGAAGAGAATATTTTGATTGGATAAGCTTGAAGCTATGCTTCAATTTAGTACAACTATTTTAAAGTCAGAAAAGCACCACTGTTGTCTTCTACCAAGTGTTTTAGAGAAGACAAATGGACATGGCAGACTATAAAATTAACACAGGAAAAGAAACTCAAGTATCACATGTTCTCACTTGTAACTGGGAAGTAAATGATGAGAACTTATGAACACAAAGAAGGAAACAGCAGACACTGGGGTCTACCTGATGGGGGAGGGTGGAAGGAAGGAGAGGAGCAGAAAAGATAATTATTGGGCACTGGGCTTAATACCTGGGTGATGAAATAATATGTATAGTAAACCCCCATGGCATGTGTTTATGTAACAAACCTTCACATATACCCCCAAACCTAAAATAAAAGTATTTTTTAAAAGAAATTAAACTTTAACACATAACATTTATTTTTTCTTCACATAGTCTCTCACTCTCTCATTTTTGAGACTTTTTAAAATTAAGGAACATACACAATATTTAAAGTTTAGCAGTATTATCTAATAATTAGTTATTTCTTCAAATGGCCAGTATGTTTCCAATACTTCTTTATCTATATTCAATACTGCATATCTAACATGCCTTGAATCTTCCAGTAGCCTGGTACAACTTTTCAACTTAAACGATAATGAAACTTCTTGCGCCTTTGTCCAGGTTTTCTTGATCGTGTTTCTGTGTCCCTCTTTTGTTGATTTAACTTGTATTGCTCAGCTATTACTACAAGATCTTCTGGAACACTCTGATTTGCTCTTTCCAGAATTTTAATCAATTCACCGGCCATTTTCGCATCTCTCTGAGTGACGAGGATAACTGATGTGCCAGTCTTTCCTGCCCGTCCAATGCGCTCTACTCTGTGTACATATTCTTCAATATTCCATGGGAAATCGTAATTATATACATGTGTGACATCATTAACATCAAGACCTCGGGCTACTAAATCAGTTGTAATCAGTATCTTTATGTTTCCACTTTCAAAGTCCTCTAATGCTCGCTCTTTATCACTCTGTTCACTGTTGCCATGTAATGATTCTACAGATATGCCTTGGATATTGAAGTCACTTGATAAGTCATCAGCAATATGTTTTTTGCTGACAAACATGATGACTTTGTCATTGGGTGACATGTTCTCTATGAATTCTTGGGTGAGAGCTCGTTTTTCTTCTTCTGTGGTAACAATTATATTTTGCTTCACTGTATTTACAGCAGCTAGATTCAGATTACCAACATAAACAATCATAGGATCTTTCAAATAAGAACGTGCCAGTCGACGAACGGTATCTGGCCAAGTTGTACTTGTCATAACAGTCTGCCGGTCTGGGCGCACATCTAATAAAATCTTCATTATCTGGGGTTCAAATTCCATATCCAGCATTTTATCTGCCTCATCCATAACTAAGTAGGTTATGCTTCTTAGGTTGACAGAGTTATTCATTTGTAGGTCATTCAGCCTCCCAGGAGTTGCAATAATTATATCTACATCTTTACTAATGTCTTCTATTTGTCCAATTCTGTTTCTACCACCACATATGCAAATGCTTTTTAGATCTTTATATGAATACTTCGAACATTCAGCTTCCACCTGAAGAGCCAACTCTCTAGTGGGTGTAAGGACTAGCATCCCAGGCCCATTCCTTTGCTCTCTAGATAATGGTTGAGAATCAACATGAATAAACCCAGGCATTAAATAGGACAATGTTTTCCCTGTTCCGGTTTGTGCAACTTCTATAAGATCTATTCCTTGTAGAATAATTGGCCATGCCTGTGACTGAATTGGCGTTGGCTTTACCAACCCTACCCTTGTTATGCTTTTCAGAAGATCAGGGTATTGCTGAAAAGCGTCTTTAAACCTACAAGTTGGTTTTGGGATGAGACGCTTTTCATCACTTTTCAAGTCATCACATATTATGTTGAAATTTTCCTTTCTCCAGTTAATTACCTGCATTTCAGACATGCAGCTTGTTGCTTTGGATTCTATGTAAAAATTTTTCTTAACTGGTGGTAGATCTGCCCATTTTCTGTTTTCGCACTCCATGACTGCTGCCCCAATTCGATCCCAATTTGACAATGGCTGAGCTTCTCCAGCAATGTCATTTCTGCCTAGATTTATTCCAGTAGGGGGTTGGGATGCAGCATTATCCACACTGGATTCTGAGTTGTAGCTTTTTTGTTTTCTAGTAAGTGTTTCTATAATAGCTTTGGCTTTTGCTTTCATTTCCCTGTTGCCAAAAATTCTGACTAATGCTTCTGATTCCCCCTTTATAATCTGTATTTTAGTGTTTGTCGAATGTTGTAGATCTTTTATTTTTGATCCACTGTGACCAATGACCGCACCAACCATGTTGTTCTTTATTTTAAAGCAGAGTGGTGGTTCACGGGAGCCTGCTGTTCTCGGTCCCTGATGGCCGAAGGGGCCACTCCAGCCACTGCCTCTGCTGCCCCTGGCATCCCATCTGGCCCCAAGGTCTCTTGGATTAGCCTCCGCTCTCTTCCACTCTGGGGCCCGGTGGGACATTGTGTGATAGTGGGAGTATCGGCACCGGCTTCTCGCCTACATACGGTTGGAAGTTCAGGTCTGCGGCCTCTTTCCCGTCACCTTCTGCACGAAAAGATGGCGGTGGCAGTTATTTCCGGGTGCTAGTCACGTAGCTACGCAGCAGTTTCCTAAGAAACCAGTGTTTGTCGTATAGGGGCGAGGCTTTGATGGCCTGACCAATCACAGAGCTTGGACTGGGGTGAGGTAAGCCAGCGTCTGTGACGCAAATTTAAAGAGGTACTTACTCTCACGTAAGTGCTGACCCCGCCAGCACTTACAGGACTCTGAGAGTAACTGCTTCCTTAACTTCTGTGTCCTGGGTGCCCCTTTCACTCTTCTCGTGATAGTTCTGTCTCAGCTTGAGAGCAACCTTGAAGCACACCTTAAACATACACACCATATACACATTGTCCTTTATATAAACCAATTATTTCTCTAAGATTAAAAAAAAGTGCATTTAAAGAAAAACTGTTTATTTTTATATTTGTGTGTTTATTTATTTTGGTAAATTTCTTTTGCAGTGAATAGAATACTTGGTCAGGATAAATTCATCACTTCCCTGTCCTCTAGTGTAACTTAAATTCTACTAATCAGAAATCTCTTAGGTGCATACTCTAGGACAGCGTTTTGCCTTAATTCATCAACTAAATGTCAGCACTTGTTTAGGCAGTTTCCAGATATTATTACAGGGATGATGGTTAGAAGAGAGGTAGAGTGGTGCCTAAGGGTACTTTAGGGGCTGTTTTTAGTGGTTTGTCAGTTTTCTCAGTGCCTCTTCATTTTTTTTCCTTCCCTGTGGTTTGATAGCTTCTGAGACCTTAGCACTGGAAGGCTGTGTAGAACTCATTATTAGGTACATGTAGAAGACATTCTAGCAGCAGTTTGGACAGAGGGATACCCAGCTGCCATTTAGACAGTCCCAGTGGCAGGGAGCTCACTTCATTTCAAGAATATCCATTCCATTATGAGGCAGTTTAATGGTTACAGAAGTTTTTTTGAACCAAAATGTGCAGCGTCCTGTGTCCTTAAGTCCTTCTCCCGAGTTCTGAAGTTATACATAATAGGCTTAATTCTCCTGTATCCTTGTGTACTTAAGGAGCTGTCAAAGGCGGGTTTTTTTGTTTGTTTTTTGTTTTTTTTTTGAGATGGTGTTTCACTCTTGGTGGCCAGGCTCGAATGCAATAATGCAATCTTGGTTCGCTGCAACCTCGGCCTCCTGGGTTCAAGTGATTCTCCTGCCTCAGCCTCCCGAGTAGCTGGGATTACAGGTGCCTGGCATCACGCTTGGCTAATTTTTTGTATTTTTAGTAGAAACGGGGTTTCACCATGTTGGCCACGCTGGTCTCGAACTACTGACCTCAGGTGATCTACTCGCCTTGGCCTCCCAAAGTGCTGGGATTACAGGTGTGAGCCACGGTGTCTGGCCTCTGTCAAAGGTTTCTGTGCATCACGGCAACATTTCCAGTTTCTTCAATGTTTCTTGCTATGACATGGTTTCCAAGACACACATCATCCTATTGCCTGTCCTTTGGAAATGGTTCATTGAGGACCATTTACAATGTAGCACACAGAACTAAAAAACAAACAAAAAGACAAGCAAACAATCCTCAGAAATGGCATCACTCCTACTATTAGGGCATCTTTACTGAGCATGACAATTCTACTAATTTGACCTAAGAACTCCTGAGACACAAAGCTGCTCACAGTATCATGGCGGACATTTAAGTTCTTGCTCCTTTTACTTACTCAGTTGATTTTTTAAAAAAAATTTGCTTACCTAAATGAAGATTATATGTGTATCGTTTTATAGTCATCTTATTAAGTTTGGTCAATTGATGTAGCCTATGAAATATAATTTTAATGATTATTCTCTAATCCATCATATTAGCCTCTAGTTTCAAGTCTTCTGCCATTTTAATGTTCATAGCATCTTTGTTCTTCAGTCAGTCACTGATTAAAATTTCATCATGGTCTAATATAGGACAGAAGTCTGTGACACGTTGGGAGAAAACTTCTCTGTGTCAGTACTTTTTGTAAAAGGTGCTATTTGAAGAAATGAAAAGGTTTCTGATCAAATATGTTTGGGAAACTCAGCACCCTATATTCTCTCTGTTAAAATCACAATGCTTATTGGATATTCCAGGAGCTATGACTATTACAGACATAGAGAAAAATCAGTTGTTTAATCCAAAGTTCCCCAAACAAATCTGCCAATGGATATCTTCATCAATTATTTAAATAAGCCTTTTATTTGGAATAATTTTAGATTTACAGAACAGTTACGGAAGTAGTGCAGAGAGGTTCTCATTTACCTCGGCCAGTTTCAGCTTCCTCTAATCTTATCATATCTCATTATCATGATACATTTGTTAAATATAGGAAAACACTATTGGTGTGTTACCATCAGCTAAATTCCAGACTTTATGCTACCAGTTTTCCATTAATGTATTTTTTCTGTTTCAAGATCCACTCCAAGACATCATACTACATTTAGTTATATACAGTTTGTGAGAGTTTCTCAGTTTTTTCTTATTTTTCATAATCTTTCCAGTTTTGAGGAGTAATGATCAGGAATTTTGTAGAATGTCCTTCAAAAAGTATGCTTGATGTAACTTCTCATGATTAGACTGGGGTTATGGGCTTTGGAAGAAAATATCACAGAGATGAAGAGCCTGTCCCATCACATCATATTGGGGAGATAGGTACCTGATGTCAACGTGACCTATCATTGGTAATGTCAACCTTGGTCCCTTGGATAATTTGTGTTATTCATATTTGCTACACTGAAAAATTATTATTTCACCCTTTCCATACTCTATTTTATGGAATGAGTCACTAAGTCCAGACAATCCTCAAGGGCTCAGTCACCATTTAAATGCAATCTTTCTATTATTTTTTATAATTAGTAATGTTCTTTGGAATGTAGTTTGGAAACCACTGGTCTGGATAAATAGAAATTACCTAACCATTTTTTTTTTCATGTGGTTGTTCAACCAGGTATATTCTGATCAAGTCACATCACAACTCCTCCATACTTCTCCATGAATTGTACTAGGAATTTTAAGGCATTTTCAATGTCTTCTAGTTTATTAACTATTTTAAAAGGAAATTTGTTTAGTTACACGTGGCTTTTACCTCTCGAAGGATATGTTATGTTTCTCTGTCATTATGCATTCATCTTTACCTTGAATAATATTTAATTTTACAGAACCGTAGAATTCTACATGTGTTGGGTACATCAGAGGTCATTTTGTTCTTCTCCCTTATTATAGAGAGTGAAATTGAGATTCCACATTCTTTCTGGAATTGATCAAAGGTGTTCAGCAAATTATTGGGAGTAAAAATCTAGAACCATTTGTTGACTTGTGGCCAGTCAGGAAAACAGTACAGGACATTACTCCTTTACTACGAAGTGACTTGCTTCTATTCTTGTTTTATGTGGGTGATATGGAAAAATAGAAGAAGCCATGAAAGTGAAGTGAAGAAAAGTCATATTGTTGGCAGAGGGGTAGTTGTAAAATTTGGGTAGAAATCAGTTCACTTTAAGATGGAACTCATTGTGGTGAATTACTGTGATGACACAGAACTGATAGAAGACTTGCGGATATTGAAGATACTGAGAGGGATTGTGCTTTCTGGATGATTAATTACCATTTATGATTGCCCTTATCAGTTGGAAAAATTATTTGCCAGCTAAATTAAGGGCCATCAGTGTGATGTTCTTTGCTCCAAATATCTCTACAACAGGCTTATTCACTGTATCTGAAATATTCCCACTAAATATGTATCCCTGTGGCTTATGGCTTGGTATGTTATTAGCATGGCCCTGGAAAAACAAAACACAAAAATGTGAATTTGTGAGTTAGATGCTTTCCCGTGGAGCAGCTGGCTAAAAGATTCTTTTAGGGCAGAGAGTGGGAAAGATGGAAAGAATTGAATTTCTGGTAGAGGGGATCTGTAAAGTTTCCCCCAAGGTAAGATAAAAGGGGTAATGTAGGGAAAGACAAGAGTATGTTTAAGACGATTTCTACCGTTTTGCTTAGGGCAGTCCCTATAATCTTAGAGGCAACAGTAAGAGAGTGAAATATTGCAGGCTGTGAATTGGGCTAATTTGCAATCACTCTGATTTCTACAAAACTCTCTTAAAGATGAGTTAATGTTGTTGGCCTAAAATAGTCTCATATATGGGACTCCCTTAGAAATGATATTGATCGTGTTTTATTTAATAAATCTGCTGTGATGGTCTAAGGCAAACTTGACTTATGGAATTCCAGTTAGCATGGTTGATGATAATAATTACAGTTGGTTTTGCATCTGTACAGCACTTGACAATTTATAAATACTCTTTATAGAAGTAGTTTCCTTGGGATGATATATATCTGGCCATTATTCTGTTCAATACATGTGCTATATTATGGCAAATATTGCCATTATCATTGTACATATTGGTATGTTTATTTTGTGTACAGAATCATACTCATGCCACAGAGTCTAAAGAAGTAGCAGCCGTGTGGTATAGTTAGCAATCAAGAACACTGGACCTTAAATAACTGGGTTCACGTATCACTTTCACCATTTATTCACTGTGAGTCCTTGAGAAAATTATGTCTTAGTTTTGCTGTCTGTAGAATGGCATGCTGTCTCGTATACACACAAGACACACACAAAGTTTTACTAATTGGTTCATAGTAGGAACTCTCAAAGTATCAATTATCCCTGTTACAGAAACAGTAGGTATAGAGAGAGAATCATGGAGATTCCCTGTCCAAGGATTTTTCTGATAGTTTCCTCTGGTCCATATCAAAATGAAAAAAAAAATATGGATAATATAATTTTTTTATCTGAATGTATATTTATTCAATGTAAACTTTTTTATTCTAACATTATGGCCTACTATCTTTTGTAAAATATACTTTTAAAATGAAATAAGGATTTCAAATTATTTTTAAAGGTCTCTCCTAGGGCAAGAAAGAATGTAAATCTAATGGCCAGTAGCCTAATTAGGCTTTTAAATGTTATTGATATATGAACCCCAAGTGCTTGTAAGCACTGATGTAGAACATCAAATGTGGTTTGAATGTTTTTGTTCCCCCGAAGTTCATATGTTGAAATCCTAACCCCAAAGGTGATGATGTTAGGAGTTGGGGCCTTTGGGAGGTGACTGAGTCATGAGAGTACAGCTCTCATGAATGGGATTAGCTTGCCCTTATAAAATAGACCTGAGAGAAACCCCATGCCTTTTTTGCGATGTGAGGTTACAATGAAAAGTTGGCTGTCTATGAACTGGGAAGTGGGCCCTTACCAGACACCAAGTCTGCTGGTAACTTGATTTTGGACTTCCCGGACTCCAGAGCTGTGAGAAATAAATTCTTGTTGTTTATAGGCCATCCAGTGGCAAACTGAGAATGAAAGAGTCATATGACATTAATGAGGGAATTGGGTCCCTTTGGAGAAAATAGAATGCAGGGAAATGGGGTTGAAAAATGAGGGCTTTGTTTTTGATATTTCAAGTACATGGGACTGAGGGACTTGAACAGAGTGTGGCAGTTTAGCAGTGGGAACTCAGAGAATGCAACAGATAGAGACATGGTGTCTGAGAATCAACTCACATTCTTGAGTTCTACTATATGCTAAACATTTTAAGTGTATTATTTCATTAAATCATCACAGCAACTTCATAGTATGTATTTTCCACCTTTTTCATGTGAAAACATTGAAGCTCAGAGATGTTATATAATATATCCAAATTCATGCAAAGTTGTGGTAAATAACTTTAGACGTGAATAAATGTAAACATGGATATGGTTAGCTTCAAGGTCTTTTCCCTTCCACCTAATCCTCGTTTCTAGGGAAAAAGTGTGTTTGATTTGGTGCCTGGTTCTCAGAGAAAAAGAGTCTAATTAAAGATGACTCAGTCCTCCAGGTTGGAGACTTATTGAAGCAGAGAATGTTGAAGTCATTCGACAGGAAAGGCGGAGGGGAGGCAGATGAGTTTGGTTTCAGTCATGTCCAGTTTGTGGTGTTATGGGGGACATATAAGTAAAAAAGCTAACTGAACCTGGAGATTTGGGACTGTAGTTCAGATGAGAAGATGAAGAGAGATTTGAGAATAGTCAGCATAGAAGTTATAGCTGAAACTGGAATTGAATGCTTCTAAGAAATAGACAGTAATGAAAGACAGGTTGAAGAACATTTTAAGGAACTATAGAATTCATATGATTAGATAACGAGAAGAGAAAAACAGGAAGGTAGGGGAAGAGAGAGGCTATAT